GCAACTAGAAGGATGTGCAACTATGACATACGACTATCTACTGGGGCTTTGGGGAGAAAAAGGGAGGAGGATTGGCAATAGATGTTAGCTCAGGGCCGGTCTTCCTCAGGAAAAAAAAAAAAGGAGGATTGGCATGGATGTTAGCTCAGGGCTAACTTCCTCACAAAAAAAAAAAAAAAGAAAGTGAACTTGGAGATCACCTTGATGGCCCCCTTTAATTTACAGAGAGGGACATTGAGGCACAGAAAGGCTAACTGATTTGCCCAAAGTCACACAAATAAGAGTGGTGGTGCCAAGGCTAGAGCTCTGATTTCTTGCTTTCCCATCAATAATCTTCTCAATACACAGATGGAAAATTATAAATACTCTGTAATGCCAATATAGCAATAACCACTGTAAAACTTTGCGGTGTTTTTCTCTCTAGTCAATTCCACAGATTTTATTAAATTTAGTTAGATGAACTCCATTGAACTGAGTGAAGTTTTGATTCAAAAGACTTTAGGGGCCGGCCCAGTGGCGTAGTGGTTAAGTTCATGCACTCTGCTTCGGCAGCCCAGGGTTCGCAGGTTCGGACCCCAGGCGCAGACCTACACACTGCTCATCAAGCCATGCTATGGCAGTGTCCCACATACAAAATAGAGGAAAATGGGCACAGATGTCAGCTCAGGGCTAATCTTCCTCAGCAAAAAGAAGATTGGCAACAGATCTTAGCTCAGGGGCCAATCTTCCTCACAAGCAAAAAAAAGATTTTAAAAAACAGACACAAAAAGATGATAGTGATAGTAAGATAAGTAAAGGAAAAAGACTACAAAAGAAGTGGTTTTGTTTTTTTTAGTCAAAAATGTAAACATCTTCTCTCTCTCTGAAGGATGCCAAAGTATTTAGGTTGGCACTAGTTCTGTTTAAGAGAAAAAGTTTATTTCTTTTCTTCTTCAGTATTTTTTGTGGTAGCTGTTTGCTTTGAAGGCTTTTTCTCATGATTATCACTTATTAGTTAGTGCATGTGGCCAAACTAGGAAGAAAAATGTTTCATGTCAGGTAAAGACAATTAAAATGAAAAAGGCAATTTATCCTCACAAAGCCCATCTCACAAACCAATGTGGTTTTCTTTCCTCTGCCTGGTTTTCAGGGTAATTATGGCGTCATCATTGACAGGAAGACTGAGGGATGGTTCCCTTTGATCAATTCCCAGGCAGAAACTTCTGCATTTACCCCTCACCACCAACACACTGATCTCTGGTTTAAATTCTTGTCCAAATAGGTAATTTAAGTCCAATTCAATGAGTAAGTGAAAAGCCTGGATTCTTATTTTTCAGTCATGACACTTAATACTTCGCATTCCCTTTCCCCAATAACTGCCCATTTCCAATATTTTGTCTGAATTATTAGAAGGTACTGCTATCAACCTAAAATAGCCTTTCTTCAGTTTGCTCACAGACAATAATAATCTGAAAAAACACAGCTTCAGGTTTTTAAACCACTGTCCTGAAAGCTGGCATATTAAGTGGTAGCTATAGTAATATCAAAAATAGTCATTCTTTTGTTGTTGTTGGCTGAGGAAGGTTCGCCCTGAGCCAACATCTGTTGCCAATCATCCTCTATTTTGTATGTGAGTCACTGCCACAGCATGGCTACGAGTGGTGTAGGTCCTCGCCCGGGAACCAAACCCAGGCCTCGGAAGCAGAGCGTGCCAAACTTAACCACTATGCCACTGGGGCTGGCCTCTCATTCATTTTTCTTGAGAGATAATTTTCTTTGGACTTTGTCATTCATTCAACAAATATTTATATAGAGTGCCTACTATGTCCATGTCAGGTGCTGTGCATCTTGGAGTACCTTGTTTGTTTGTTTGTTTGTTTGCTTTTTGTGAGGAAGATCAGCTCTGAGCTAACATCCATGCCAATTCCCTCTTTTTGCTGTGGAAGACTGGCCCTGGGCTAACATCCGTGCCCATCTTCCTCTACTTTATATGGGACGCTGCCACAGCATGGCCTGACAAGCAGTGCATCAATGCTGCCCAGGATCTGAACCTGGGCTGCCAGCGGCAGAGCACATGCACTTAACCGCTATGCCCCGGGCCAGCCCCTTGGAGTACCTTG